ACATATATATATATACACACATATATATACACACACATATATATATATATATACACACATATATATACACACATATATATATATATATATATATACACACACACACACATACATACACATACACACACATACACATACATATACACATGCATATTTATACATTTAATATTAGCTTAGACATCATACCCTATGCTCTGTACCTGATAGATCAGCAGATCCTGTGAATTCCATAGAAGATTGGTTGTATAATCATAAATATCGATACTGACGAGTTCCCACTCTCCCTGGGCCTGAAAGAACTCCTTTGAGTCATGGAGAAGGCTTTTATTATCAGAGATTGGATTAATTGTAAGCTCCTCCTCTAGAAAATATAAATAAATTATTCACATCATTATAAATTTAATCAGTTTATATTAAACTTTTTTTTTTTGGTCCTGGATTGTAGATTTACTTGTATGCACTGCAGAGTGAAGTGTTATATTGCAGATTTGTGTGTCAAAGGGAAATCTGTGCAGGTCCATCTTACAAGCAGTGGTCAGAGATAAAATGTCAACTAAGACTGACAGTTCCCACCAGATTAACTGCACATATGGAGACTCCTTTGTGCCAAACTCTGTCTTGATGCTAAACAAACAACAAAAACAACAAAATGAAATATTGATTAACATAACGACATAATTAGAAAGACAAAGGTATTAAAATATAAAGTAACTTGTACAGACTGCTAAAAACTACTTTTTTAATTTACTAGTGCATTTGACAAAAAAAAAAAAAGTCCAGATATCACAATATACAAATTCATGATTTATTGCACGTGTTGTGGGAAACAGGTAAAAAGACTTGACACTGTAGTAAGACAGGCAAGTTCAGCAGACACAAACACAACAGCAAAGATGAGTTCACAGAGGATTACTTAAAAAAAAAAATCTAAAAAAAAAAAGAGCATATCCAATATCCCCGTGCTATAAATAAGCATCGAAAGAAGCGGCTCTGCGAGCCCAGCCCCCAAGCATCCGCAATGAGGGTTCCTAAAAGCATGAGCTAATAATGAGACCCAGGTCCTGAGGCTGGGGTCTGCATAACCAAAACCTTTTCCACTCCAGTGATTAGGCAGACAAGATCATGGTTAAATACATTGCATTTAGCATTTATGATAAAGATGATGATATCAGATGAACTAGGGTGACCATACGTGCCATTTTTCCCGGACAATAAGAAAATCCTGGCCAGGATTTCTATATTGCTTTGATTCAAAGTACCTCGAGAGCATTTCGAAAACATAAGGAACCGATGTCATACACCGTTCGGTCTGCACACGCAAACAAAGCCAACCCCTAGATATTTTAGGCAATATAGAAATCCTGGCCAGGATGCGTCTGGGAAAAATGGCACGTATGGTCACCCTAGATGAACAATTCTGTTAAACAAAATTTATAGCTAGCGGTTCCTGCCAGTTCCTGTTCTCTTAAGTCAAATGTGCCAAATTACTGTGACTCTCACCTTTTGTCTGTAAAGGCTCTTGGTGCCCCTGCCCCAGTCTTTGAATAGTTATGCTGATTGGATAAGGACTGGTGAAACAGGGCTGGTTGCTATACCTGAATGAGTTGGAGGCATCTATAGTGACTGCCTTCCTTGTAGAAGTCAGTCCCAATGAAACGCCTGTCTGATACAGGCAAAAGGCTTTCCAAGGGGCCACAGCTCTTGTGCAGCGCTTGGTCACCTTCAGGCAAAGCGTCCCAGGCACCAAGTGTGGGAAGGTGCACGGGCTTTGAGCCAGAATCAGAGGAACAGCATGTGAAGCAGACTCATAGGAATCACAGAGAAGACGGTCGACATGAGGCTGAGCATCCTCTGGAAAACCTTGAGAGGGTGAGAAGCCCCCAATATGAACGACACCACTAACCACTTTTTTTTTGTTTTGTAAAGGGTATAGGTATTGGAGGGCCCATATGTGAAGCAGGCCCACAGTAATCAACGAGGAGGCAGTTGATACGAGGCCTAGCATCCTCTGGAAAACCTTGAAGGGGGTGAGAAGCCCCCAATGAGAACGGCGCCGCTGAATTGTCGGTGAGCTTTTTGGCATAAGTCAGGCCCGCATCTGGGTCAAACCGAAAACTGTTCCCAAGAAGGCGACCTGCTGGCTGGGAAACAGAAAGCTCTTGGGCAAATTGATTTTGAGCCCAAGGCACTCCAGGTGGCTGAGCAGCAATAACCTGTGATCAAGAAGTTCCTGCTCCGATCTGTAATTCATAATGCGGATTCCCATCTGTCTCAGAGGGAAAAGAGCCACGTCCACGCACTTTATAAAAGTGCATGGGGCCAAAGACAATCCAAAAGTAGCAGCTGAAAAAGCCTGACAAGCTGTTCGCTGGTAGAATAATTTTCACAGTGCCTTTTGCAAGCAGACTCTGCCTTTCAGATCAGAGAACCTATGCATCATTGTCCTGTACCAAAGTTTGGATCACACCATTGAAGCTGGGAGGTCTACGAGCAAATTAAGAGAGAGTAACCTCATACTACTGTCTGCAGGACCCGACTCGATATACCTGGTATGGCTTCCCAAGCATGACCTCAGCAGCGAGGAGCCTGACACCTGCACTACAGCGAAGGGGATAATTACTTTGTCTGCTATAACAGCAATGGTTTTCTTGGGTGCAAGGGCATCTAATGTGGCGAACACAGCATTGGAAATAATACAACTGTGAACTTATTTAATTTGCATCCACATTTCTTAATATAAATTTAAAATAAACACTGCTCAAATACTTAATGTATCTAAAACTCATCTGAATTAATCTCTTGAGTTAACCATTAGATAGCAATAGCACACATGCATGAGCATTACTGAAACTACAGTTACCAACATTTAAACAAAACAGCGATTTTGATCAGTCCTTGACATAAACAAACTCTACTCTTCAGCACAACGGTAAACCACAAAAGTCATAAACTCTAAAAGAACATTAAACACTAACATATCTCCCTCATATTCAATAACATAAATAACCTAACTGAATTTCATCAATCATTCTCTGAGTTCACACAATTATTTTATTATAAGTGCAACAATCTTTCATAAAGTCAAATTGACTTCTATTTTTAACAGTAAAATAAGTTTTTTTTTTTTACAGAGTAGGGTACAACGGGACTAGAGCCTCCCTGGGGTAAAAGGCGCCTTTGATATTATTTTCATCTAAACCACTAGATGGCACAAAAACGTGGCGTAGCACTTTCCAAAACATTTGCTTTTCAAGATGTATGTGTATATTTGTCTGATCCATGATGCCATCACGCAGCAGCAGCGCAAAGTTGATTCTGTGCTTACTTGTTCTAATATTTTATGTTTTTTTTTTTAAATGTTGTAGAATTAAGTAGCAAATTAGAATCACTAAAATGAATGCATATATTTTGAGACAAAGGTCTTAACAATTTTCAGTTTTGTTTAAGATAATTAAAGCAACAGATTTTAAATAACGAAAGAATATGTAAAAGTATGGTATTTGGGGTAAAAAGCGCCCCTGCTGTTGGGGCTAAAGGCACAGTAATTAACATGATAATCAATAGACAGCTGACTTTTCCATTTGTTGACATGACATGGTTAGATTCAGATGATAAATATCATATATTATGTTGGGTGTCCATATTAGATATAATCACCATGTTTAGAATAAAACCATCATGTTTAAAAACATAATATTAATCATATCATATAATAAAATATATTTTTTTGTTACTACTGTAAATATATATTTAATTATTATTGGATCTCCTTCAATGCTTTCAGAATCTTTACTTATTAAAATGATTTTGTTTCTGTATTTTAAAATATATTTTTTATATTAACATATTTTAATGACAGTATATTTATTGAACAAAAATTAATTCTTTTATTTTTCAAATTAAGCAGAAAATAGTAAAAACTTTACTAAAGTGATTGTTTTGAACAAGTATTAACTTAGACATTATCTTTTAAAACATTATTTTAGCTAAAGTATTTGTATCAATACTATGTGTCTTTTGCCCCATGCTGGTGAGATTTTGCCCCACACACGGTGTAAAAGGCCCCCCTTGATACCTCATACATTTATAAGATTTTTAAACAAAATAAACAACTTGAATTATTTATTTTCACACAAACTATTTTGCTCCATTAATATTAAATACAAACATATATATTTTTCTGCAATTATACATTTTAGGCGCAGTGAATAGCACATTTTTTCTTAAGGTGTGCCTTTAGCCCCGTTGTACCCTATCTTTGTTTTTGTGTCATAGGTAATTTTCTGTTGTTTGTTTTGGTCCTCTCATTCAGTGAGTGCGACAATGTCCAGCATGTCAGGTGAGTGTTACAGCGGCTGCTCAAGAATCATTCATTTGCTAAGGTGGAGAAGTTTCACGGTTGATTCCATTCCTGGGTTTCATTCTGTCACCCGAAGGCATATGAATGGATCCTGCCAAAGTAAAAGCTGTTGCTGATTGGCCCACCCCAGACAGTCGTAAGGCGGTCCAGCGATTTCTGGGGTTCGCCAATTTTTACAGACGATTAATTCTGAATTTTAGTCAGGTTGCCCTGCCGCTGACAAATCTCCACACGAATGCATTCCTGTTGGTCAATGCAGGCTCAGGAGGCGTTTGAAAACTTAAACAGGCTCCTATTGTTGCAAAACTTGTTTTGGCTCCTATTCTCATCAGCCCCAACCCGTCTCATAATTTCATTGTGGAGGTGGATGCGTCAGAGCTAGGAGTGGGGGAAATATTGTCCCAGAGATCATCTTCGGACAACAGAATACACCCATGCGCCTTTTTTAATCTTCGTCTCACCCCTTTGGAATGGAATTATGATATCGGGAATAGGAAGTTAAAGGCTGTTAAGTTGGATCTGGAGGAGTGGTGTCACTAGTTGGAAGGTGCGGGGGTTCCATTTTTAGTTTGGACCGACCATAAGAACTTAGAATACATTCATTTCGCCAAGAGACTAAATTCTCGACAGGCTTGCTGGGCACTATTCTTCAGCCAGTTTAACTTTAACATCTCGTATCGCCTGGGTGGCAAGAACAGTAAACCTGATGCGCTTTCACACATTTTTGCGGTAGAGGCCAGACCCACCTCTCCCGTGACCATCATGCCTTCCAAACAGGTGGTTGCGATGCTCACCTGGGAGGTGGAAGCCAAGGTCTGTGAGGCATTACACAGGGTGTTACTATCCCCACGACATGCCAGAGAGTCTGCTGTTCGTGCCAAAGTCGGTCTGAACAAGCGTTCTTCAGTGGGGCCACTCATCCAGCCTAGCTTGCCACCTGGGAGCGGCTCGATCATGTTTGTTGATCAGGCAGTGTTTCTGGTGGCCGTCGATGGCACAGGACACCCGAGAGTTCGTGTCAGACAGTCCGGTGTGTGTGGTGGGCAAGGGCTCGAGTAAACCCCCAGCAGGACTACTCCTGCCACTGTCAATCTCTTCGAGACCCTGGTTACACATAGCCATGGAATTTGTCACGGGCCTACACCCGTCTTGTGGCAATACCGTGGTCCTCACCTTTGTAGACAGGTTCTCGAATGCGGTTCATTTCATCGCCCTCCACAAATTGCCTTCAGCGAGTGAGACAGCGGCTATTCTCTAAGATCAT